GCGGCTGGCTGGCATGTGGTGCTGGGGGGTCGAACCGCGGTCCCTGATGCTTTGCTAAGCCTGTTCTAAGTAGGTGCCCTAGACCACTGAGCCATCTCTCCAGCCCCGACTTGTAATTTTTTACTACTGAAATTTCCTAGGTCAATTTTTATTAATACCCAGTTTTATTATACGTAGATTAATGTGCGTAATGTAACTATGGATTTTATTTTCCTAAAGTTTTACAAGCAGCCATTCTTAGTTTTCCTATTTCTTCACCAGATTTCTCTACTCTGCAGCATTTTTTTCTTTTATAATTGCTTTGCAGATATATATATATATATATATATATATATATATATCTTATATGTTCCTTAAGATTTTATAAAACACTTTCATGTTTTTCTACTAGATTCGGGTTGACTCCTTAGCATATTCTCAAGTTACACATGATAACAGCTTGATGAAGTAAACTAAATGAGGTGCATAATTATTAAAATTTTTTCCCCAAAATCTCCGGGCTAAGAATTACATTTTTTTCTTTTTTTTCCCATGATTTTATTGAGAAACAATTAGCAATGAGACAATTCCAAACCAAATTGGTATAACAGTTTCAATAATTAACACATTGCACTCTTCCTAGTGGTTATTTGCTATACAAGATGTGGACATGATATCCTATTTATAAACACTATTAGAAGAAATCCCTCTCTTTATTAAGAGAACACAACTATATATCTATCCTAACCATTTTGAATACACAGATACAAAATGGGCATTCATCTGTATCCCCCCTTTTTTTTGTTAAGTTCCGTTATTTGAATATTATAGGTGTGTTAACTCAGCAAAATATTCTAAAAGATTCTAGTAATCCATAATAGTATTGGGTCTTTTGCTTCACTGGCAATGTCAGAAATTGTTGAACTGAGTCCCCTACAGCTCAACATAACAACATGGCTTTACTTCTTATACTTTGTTTTTATACTTCTCTGCTGGATGGTTAAGACCAAGGTAAAGCAGGACCTATGCAACAAGAGTTGCAGCTTTTGGGTCTGATAAGGTCAGTGAAATCCCCTCAGGATTTATCCTGAGATCCTGTACCTCAGATTGTAGAACCTTTGTCAGTGTCAGCCATGTGGATGAGTCATGGCCATTGCTTGGCCAATGTGCTCTCTGTGAAAGCCTGAGAGAATGTTTTCTATCCATGTGACTCTCCTCAGGCACACTCTATATCATCAATCATTTTCCTCTTTGGCCCCCATAATCTCCCTGATCAGAAAATTTGGGATACTACAGAGTTACATGATGTTACAGAACAAGTTCTCATATGTCCTGAATCTTAATTGATCTTGGAAGGCTAGGACCAAAATGTTGGCTTTCCTTGTGGCCCTCCTTTTTCTGTAATTTTGGTCTTCAAAATTAGGTTGTTAACCCTCTAGAAGAGAAGCTTATTTTTATTACCATACAACCTAGGCTGTTAAACCTAACCTCACTATCTGTCTGAATATCAAACATCTTAGGCATAATATGGAACAGGTATTTTTCATCAAGTATTGATATGTTGAACTTTAAGCCCCTATAGAATATGATGAAAAAGATGTGGTATTTTTACACAATGGAGTATTACTCAGCTATAAAGAATGATAAACTCGAAGTCTTTATATTGAAGTGGATGCCACTTGAAGATATACTCGTAAGTGAAATAAACCAGACACAATGTGTAAATATTGTGTAGTTTCTCCAGTATAAGAACTCAAAAGAAGAAATACAAAGAGAAAGGTATAATACAAGTGAAAGGAAAGCAGAAACTCGAGGACTAACTAATTAAGAGAGGGAAAAGAAAAGAGCTAGGAAACATGACAGTGAAAAACCATACAGTTATATGTAGAAGATTGGCAAGGCAATGATCCTTAGAATTTCCAGAAGGTTTTTAAATCTAGCAGTTAATTGGAAAGAATCTCACCCTGAGTAGCTATATATACTGATACCTGTGCACTAAGCAAATGAAGATGGTAATCTGCAATAGTAATTTTATGCTTGGAGTGCCAGTCATCCTGGTCTTCTGAATATGGGCTGCTTGTCATGATATGCCAGTTGCTCCTGTGCTGTCTCTCAGGTAGATGATTATTCAAAAAGAAGGGGGTGGTGATTGAAGGCAAGAGACAGGAAAAGGAATGTTGTGGGACTGTCCTGCTTCATGGTTGTATATGGTTAGATTTCTGTACTTACGTGCAAACATAAGAATTATATAATTTATTTGCCTATTTTTAGATTTTCATTCTGTATGTCAGGCAATCTAAGTTGGAATGTTCTAGAGTGCAAAAATTGTGCTGTGTATATACTTAAGAATGCACTAGGAGTGAAAAGCAATTCAGTAGGGAATAGTGACTACCTGGAAGCAAGACAAAAACTCTTTTTAAAATAATGCTTTAGAGTTCTTCCAAAATGTCTGAAGTGTTATGTGCTCCCATCAGCAATGCACAAGCCTATGAATATTCTAGTTAGGTGGAGGAAAACCTATGGCACTCATGCCCAGGGTGCTGTGCGTCCCCATCTGTCTGCCCCATCCACCACCCCGCGGGTACATCCGGGTAACCGTGCACATCCAGGCATGCTTGCCCTTGATGGCCAGGGA